AGAGTGCGAGATCGAGAGATCGAGAGAGATAGGAGGAAGCGGCAAAAAGGCGAGAGACATAGAGAGCAGTCGATAGAAAGAGCGTTCATGAGAGAGACCGAGAGAGAGAGAGAGAGCGAGAGAGATAGAGAGAGAGATTTTCTTGACCATTCTTGACCCTTAAACAGATGGTTGATCGAAATTTGGCACAGAAGATCAGCGGCCATTAGTGCATTTTTAGGTCAGCTCGCAAAAACATACCCTCGGGTGCCATAGTTGTAAAATGGAGCGCGGTGGATTTAAAGGACGGGTCAGCTTGGGAATAGTCTCTTTTCCGTCTCCGTCTAAGTCTTCCGAGTTGGCTTCGAAGCCATAACTTGCAAAATGACGTTCATCTCCGAAGCTCTCACAACTTCCGGCTACCGTATTGATGTGCTTCTGCTACTGGCCGCCCGATATCTATGGATATGCATACGCCCGATTCAAGAAGAGCGTCAGCCAACGCTGAATGGTAAGTCAATTTTCAAGAAGCTAGTGAGCCAGAGAGAGAGAGAGAGAGAGAAACACTCTAGGTAGTGGCTGTTCAAAATCGTTTTCTTTCCAGAATTCGCCGAGTTTCTCCTCCTCTGTTTGCTGCAGGTCTTCCTCGCTTACATCACGCTAAGTACTGAGAAGCCGAACTCCGATTTAAACACCGTATTACCTTAACCATATCACATTTTTTTACAAATCTTCGGAAGCGATTCCGATACCGAATTTTGATAATTTGTTGGTGGATGCAGAATAAACGATGATTGTGCTGAGTTTAATGAGAGACATAATCCACAATCTAGGAAGTATTATATGCTTTTTTTGATTTATAATCTATATCTACTGCCTAAAAAATAATCTACTGCCTAAAAAATTGTATTTAATGATTTATGTGATTTTTAAGAATCACTTTCCGTTAATTGCTTGCCACTCCCAAGCCGGTGTCAAAACCATGGCCTCGGGTCATTTTCTGAACAATCGATCTGACCTACGGGGCGCGCAAATCGACAGGCCCTAACTTGGCATATGAAAGGCTGATCATCAGCGGGTCAAAGAGTTGCTTTTTGGCTAGCCCAGCGGATTTAAGATGCTTTTCCGGCTTGACGTCATTGCTATTCTTGCCCTACGCTACTTATGGCTTTTCATACGCCCGGTGACCGAGCAGCGACGTCCCAGCCGTGCTGGTATGTATCATATTTTTTAAAAGTTAAATTTTGTAACGTACAGTATGATTAAATTCACTCAAAATTGTATTAAATTTCTTCATTGATGGTTTTATCCCTTTTTCCTAAATTTTCAGGCTTAAAACGCCACAAAATGCTCAAATTCATAATTTGTTAATTTAGCTTCAGATTTCCAATTTTTCGGCGTTGAATTTAGCATAGAAATAAACTTTCTAAAGGTTAAAGCGATAAAAAAGCCTAAGATTTACATATCAAGCCGTCTTTCTCAGAAATCGCCGAATTCTGCCTGCTCGCCCTGATCCTGCTGTTCATCGCCGGGACGAACGTTATGATCGAAGTGCAAGAATTCCTGGATAACCATAAAACGATTAACAGCCTTACCAGCATTATACTCGGTTGATAAAAATTGATATATACTATTTTCCAAGTAAAAATTTGCATTCTTCGCTGGCAACATTGGAACACGATTTGGCCCCCCATAAATCGCAAAAGAATGAAAATTTTTGACCAAGTGTTTTTCTGAAGTTACTGTTTTTGGAAGGTGTAATTTCGCAACCCAAAACTTGCAGAACCTGCAAAAATTCCCAAAAAGCGGCGAAAATTAATTCCAAGCAGGCTGATTCTCATTAATTCCAGTGCCGTGTTTTTCTTTTTAAAAAGATTAACGCTGACCCCGACCTTCAGTTTTCATGTTTTCTAGCAATGTTGACTTTTTTGCTCTGCGGATTCTTCATCGTATCCAACTGGTAGTTCTGTTTTTAAATAATTGTATTTTCCGTGTTAGTCTTCAACCTCAACCCCGCCTCGGCAGCCGGGAGAATCCAATTGACCTCGACGGCACCCCGGATAATGCCGAACGGATTGGGGGCGGTGATTAAAGCCAAAGATCCTTTACAGGTTTGCGAATTTTAGACACCATCGACCGGAGCCGAAAACGAACTTGGGAGTCCGTCGTCCGCCCAGAGAGCGAATTCCGCTGGGACCAGCCGTTCAAACTTCTTACGGGTAATTTTTGCCGATCATTTCTCATAAACTCATAAACCCACCAAAAACTCTCATCCCTCCTAACTAACAAAGTCAAAATTTGTAGTAACGTAATAGAAAATATTTTACTAGTATTTTTTTAGTAAAAAACCATAGGAGATTTTGGTCGAAGAAGAGCCATTTTTGGTCGTTGGGTCAATCAGAATTTATCAAATCACAAATATCAAATTTTTTTCGAAACAAAAACAATAAGAATTTTTGTAAAAAGACGCAAAGCAAAATACAATGTGGTAACACTTTCACTATTGTTATTAGAAGAGCTGTACCATAGAAATACTAATCTAGAATCCGTTTTATGAAAACGCGGAAAAATCACTTCCAAAAACTTAAGTCACAGTTAGCCCTTTCGCGGTGCGTCATTTCGGTGCATACAGGAGCTGGATTTGGGTTTGGGTTACTGGACTGCACTTTTCAGATCAGCAGGCGCAGGCGGCGCAGGCGATGGCAGACGTACGTGCAGCGCTGGGCATGTAAGTTGGCCTTAAAGCGCGTGTTCAGCTTGAAACCTAAACATAGGCCTAATCCTGAGCCGCAGCCTCGGCATAAGGAAGTCTAAGCCTAAAAAAAACAAAAAAAAAGCAAAAAAAAAATATGGCTGAGCCTATCTAAACTCAAGCCTAGCTGAAGTTAAGCCTGATTGTAAGCTATCCCTAAGCTAAGCTAAGCTAAGCCTAAGCTAAGCCTAACTGTAACCCTCTTATGGTCGAAGTGGCAATTCCGTACGTGAGATAGCACATCTTGTGCAGAATTTTTTGTTGGTTTCGAATCTGTTTTCAAAAGTTGCGGAACCCCTCAGATAAAAAAGTTACAAGCGTTTTTTAATACCCAAAATGCCACAAATCGCTTACTTTAAAAGGTTCTAAAAATTCCGTAAAATACTTTTGGGAGGAAAGTAAGACATTTTCCGGAGTAAAAAAACGTGCTCTTTCGAATGGGCTATTTCACGAACCCGTAGCTCAAAATTTTTAAAATTTCGAAAATCGACGATCTTGGGCAAGGGTCCGCCAAAAAAAACTGTTTTGCAAATTTTGAGCTACGGGTTCGTGAGGTAACCCATTCGAAAGAGCACGTTTTTTTACTCCGGAAAATGTCTTACTTTCCTCCCAAAAGTATTTTACGGAATTTTTAGAACCTTTTAAAGTAAGCGATTTGTGGCATTTTGGGTATTAAAAACGCTTGTAACTTTTTTATCTGAGGGGTTCCGCAACTTTTGAAAACAGATTCGAAACCAACAAAAAATTCTGCACAAGATGTGCTATCTCACGTACGGAATTGCCACTTCGACCATAAGAGGGTTACGGTAAGCTAAGCCTAAGCTAAGCCTAAGCTAAGCCTAAGCTAAGCCTAAGCTAAGCCTAAGCTAAGCCTAAGCTAAGCCTAAGCTAAGCCTAAGCTAAGCCTAAGCTAAGCCTAAGCTAAGCCTAAGCTAAGCCTAAGCTAAGCCTAAGCTAAGCCTAAGCTAAGCCTAAGCTAAGCCTAAGCTAAGCCTAAGCTAAGCCTCAGCTAAGCCTAAGCTAAGCCTAAGCTAAGCCTAAGCTAAGCCTAAGCTAAGCCTAAGCTAAGCCTAAGCTAAGCCTAAGCTAAGCCTAAGCTAAGCCTAAGCTAAGCCTAAGCTAAGCCTAAGCTAAGCCTAAGCTAAGCTAAGCCAAGCTAAGCCTAAGCTAAGCCTAAGCTAAGCCTAAGCTAAGCCTAAGCTAAGCCTAAGCTAAGCCTAGCTAAGCCTAAGCTAAGCCTAAGCTAAGCCTAAGCTAAGCCTAAGCTAAGCCTAAGCTAAGCCTAAGCTAAGCCTAAGCTAAGCCTAAGCTAAGCCTAAGCTAAGCCTAAGCTAAGCCTAAGCTAAGCCTAAGCTAAGCCTAAGCTAAGCCTAAGCTAAGCTTAAGCCAAGCCTAAGCATAAGCCTAATCATCGAATATTCAGGTCACCGTTACCAGCACCACCAGGCCGGGACTCGGTGATCGCGAAAGCGCCTCGACTAGACTTGCAAACAGGTCCTTGTTTCCCCGGCCTGAACTTAATTTTTGGGTTATCTCTCTCTCGCTCTCTCTCTCTCTCTCTCTCTCTCTCTGTCTCTTTCTCTCTCTCTCTCTCTCTTTTTTTCTCTCTCTCCCTCTCTCCTTCTTTCTCTTTCTCTCTCGCGCTCTCACTCTCTCTCTCTATGCGCCTCTCTCTCTCCGTTTTGTGCTAAGACAAAACCTAATCTCCAATAACACTTCAATAATAATCTCGTCCGGGCGCTACCAGCTTTTTTTGCAGATGGAAAAACAGCGGAGCAGGCGATGGCGGAAATTCGAGCCGCGGTGGCCTCCGTGTGAGTGCATTAATTAACAAAACTTTTCAGTTTTGCAAGGTCCGGAATTAATCGGCGTCAAATCTTTAGCTCCTTTCCTTAAAATAAAATTCAGTGAGACGCGAAAAACCCCGGAGCAGGCTCTTGCCGAATTGAGGGCGATTGCCGACAGGTATGCGAACTAGGGTATTCCTATCAAACAAAAAAATCGGGTTTTAATACTTTTATAGTTTTTATACGAAAAATTCATAAAAAAAAAACATTTTTTTGAAATCCAAAAAGGTTAAAAAATTTTGATTAGCTGCCCTTTTAATATCGAAGAGACTAATTCTGGCTTGAAAGGCTGTAAATTTTCAGGTATCCTGCGGCTGGGAATCCCGGTCTACCGAATCAACCTGGCCCGTCGGGGTTGCAAAATCCTCCTGGTCCATCAAGAGCGCAAATTCCACCTCGTAAAAGTTTGTATCATTCACAACATGGCCGTTTCAGTAGCTTCGGCTGTAAAAACGCCCCGAGACTGGATCGACCACTATTATGAGAAGTTTGAAGGTATGGCAGATACCTTAAACAGCTCAGGATTGGCATCAACTTTAGGGGGTGCAAGAATGAACAAGGATGATTGGGCGCACTTGACGCGACTGACCGGCCACTCGCAAAAACAGGTACATGTACGGAAGGCTACGGTCTACTTTACCCCCTCCCCCCGGCCAGAATGTTTTGGCTATAACTTTTTAATTTTACATTACTTTAGGCTCGAATTAAAGGTAATAATATATTTTTCGACGCTCTATTGAATGTGGCTGAGGAAATCCAAAAAAAAAATAGCGAAAATATTGAAAACGTTGAGACCCTTCGGCTTTGGGGGGGGCGGGGCAAAGGAAACTCTTACAGCACGGAAAATACTAAAATGCCGACAATAAATAACCCATTCGCCAAAATTCAGACGGCCAAGGCATCGACAGCCAAAATTTTAAACGCAAAATACCGACATGGCCCTGACACTATTTTGCGTTCCACTTCCCTTTCAACATCATCGTCGTTGTGTCAGGGTTTTGGTTGTCGACATTGCGCCATTTTAGGAGCTAGGTTTCGTAGTCTGGTGTTTCGGCCAATATAAACTATTCTTTTTAACGTATAAATTTAAAATAAAGTAACACAAGGCTTTTATACACATCTCCGTTTAGCTGGAATCCCAAATGGATCTGAGAAAGAAACTGAAGCGCGAGATGGACTACTGGCCAAGATCGAGTGGGTACTGCAAGTGCATTACTGTCCAAAAACGATGAAATTTAAGCATTTTATGGCTTTTTAGGCCTGGAAAGAGAGAAGCTAATCGAGCACGTCTTTGGAAAATACCAGGGGATGGCGAACGTGCCCGCTGATGAGAAATCGTACCTTATGCGACAGACTGGCATGTCGCCGGCTGTGGTTGGTTAACAAAAAATGAAGCAAGTAGGCTTAGGCTTAAGGTAGGCATGAGCTACGCCTAAGCGAAGCCTAAGCCCAGCCTAAACTAAGCCTAAGCTAAGCCTAAGCTAAGCTACGCTTAAACATAAGCTAAGCTAAAGCTAAGCCTAAGCTAAGCATAAGCTAGACATGCAGCTAGTGCCTCTGTGCCAGGAATTTCCAAGCTCATTAACTATCGTTTCAGCTCCAAGAACGATTCCAACGGCTCGAACAGGTTGGTGCGGAGCAACCTACGGTCTTCGATACGATATCAGCCATGCGGGCCCGATTGCCAAATGTCCTTTAGGTTTCGGCCCAGAACAGGCTGCCAGGCCCCCAAGCCCTAAAGCGCCCAGGCCCAGGTTTGATTTGATTGTTGTTTTTCTAAAAAAAACGCTTCGTCGGAAAAGCCACGAAAATTCCGTCGGTTTCCAAAAAAATACGATCAAATCTGACTGATTAATAACAAAATTTGAAAAATCTGAGAAAATGTAAAATTTGGAAGTGCATCGGGTCGGCCAGAAGGGTCTTTGAATTTCGCCAACTTTCAGTATTCTTTTTTTTTGTTCTCTGCTCTGTTGTCTAGTTGCCAAATAGTCGACCTGGTCCGCGTCCCCCAACGTTGATTCCTGGCGAAAAGCAGCAACAATGCCAGCACAACCCGACCACGTCGCATGATCTTTTGCCTCTTTTTGGACGTGAAAAGGCCTGGATACTGGAATTGTGACGCTATTTCTGGAATCCTCATAGAGTTCTGGTCATTCTAGACGTTTTAATTATGAAAATTAATCAGAGAACCAGGGTTGAAAAACCGCTTCGCGACTTTTCAACCCTGGCCCCGTCTAACTTGATGAAATTCTTCACTCTGCATACGTCTCTCGAATTCCTATGGGGAAAAAAATGAGGAATTCCACTCTCTCACGTTATATATAGGCTTCCGCCACTTCCGGCGTATGCTAATTATTTCCTAACAAAGAAGGCTGCCGGATTTTTCAACAAAAACTCAATTTTAATGTCGAAAATAGCATAATTTGCAAAATCAGATATGCGTGCAGTCATCTCGGGGACGTTACGCACCTAATGACGTATCATACGTAGCCTAACGCCTTTCCCCTCTTGAGATATCCTCCGGACACGGTGACGGAAGTTGCATGCAAATGCACACACACACACACACACACACACAGGAACTATTTTTTTATATATAGTAGGAAGTAGGATGACCGAGATCAAAAGATCAAAATAGGCGCCTTACAAGGCATTACAACATGAATCGAAAGTCCTTACAAAAACACTCAAAAAATCGTTTTGGCCCGGAGAACATCTACTCACCCAAATATTTACGTTTTTTCCGCAACGAAATCACTTTTTTGTTACTTCTCGACAGTAGCCCCTTCGTTTTGACTGATAGGCTCAATCCCCGCATGCACGAATTTTGTCTTCAGAGCCCCTTTAAATACTCATTACACCATTTTAGCCCTGCAGGGGCGCGTCGATCTTTTGCGACCGTATTACGAGAAACACGGCAAAGACTGGTCGGAACACACAGAGAAGGAGAAGGCTGAATGGCAAAAGGGACCATACAAGGACATCAGTCCGCGCCAGGTACAATATCAAATCTTTATGGCTGGCAATTAAATTTGAGGGTTAACAGGTTCGACAAATTGCTTGCTTTGATATTGATGTGTTGCTGGTTTTTGCCGTAGCTATTTTATTTTACATCATTTTAGACTAAAATTAAAACGCTGAGCGTCTTTTTGAATGCTCGATCGAATGGCGTTAAGCAAATTTTGTACAAATGCCGAAAATTTCGCACCTCATCTCACACAATGGCCATAGGTGAAAACCGCGAATAAAAACCTTTTTTTTTTCTTGCCATAACTTTTTTATAGTACATTATTTTTAGCTGGCATCAAAACTCCTAAAGGGTGTCCCAAAAACACCCCATCTAACTTGACGCAGAAGTATCGGATCGGAATGGTAGTTACACCATTCGAAAGCCCTGGAAACGGCCAGTTCGCAGCAATCTTCAAAACGATTTTTTTTATTCAAACGCGCCATTTTATAATGCATCTAAAACACTAAGGAACGGCCTCTGCATCTCTGATAATGATAATTAACGACAACTTCTGGTCATATTTTATGAAGAAATTAAAGCAAATTAGTTCGTATGCAACCCCGAAAACCCGGAAAATTTTACAAAATGGCTTGTTCCGGCATAATGCGCGGGAGGGTCGGAACCGAAATTCGAACCGAAATTTCGAACCGAAATTTCTGAATCCGAAATTCGAACCGAAATCGGAACCGAAATTCGGAACTCGAAAGCGGAACTCGAAATCGGAAATATAGCAGACCGGAAGCAAAACTAATGTATCCAAATTTTCAGATACAAATACAAGATTCCGATAAAACGAAAAGTAGACCTCTGAAAAAGGTTATCAACCGTCGTCAAGGGCTTTCGGATGGTATAACTATCATCCCGATCCGACGCTTCTCCGTCGAGTTAGAGGGGGTGTTTTCTTTTATCGCGACCATTTATATTTGAAGATCTCTCTGCATATGGGTATCTCCAATACTTCCGGAATTTCGAGTTTCCGAAATTTCGAGATTCCGCCACTTCGAGATTCGGAAATTTCGAGATTCAGAAATTTCGAGATTCCGAAATTTCGAGATTCCGAAATTTCGAGATTCCGACTATCACCCAATGTCGCTTATAGGCGGCGGCGGCCCTAAAGGTTCTGAAAGAACAACACGACGCAATGCAATTAGGTACGCCCCAAGAAATCAATATATACGGAGCTTTGAAGCTGCGAGTTGTCAGCCGGGCCCGTCGGGTCTTGGGAAACGGCGCAAGCGGTCGGCCGGCTGCCAGTTCGTCCGGAAGCTCAACACGCCCGATGATGCCAAGGTACCGTTTTTGTTATTTAACAATTTCAGGGCCGATACAGATTTTGTGATTTTTCTGTCATTTGTTCCTAATAGTTATGCATGTTCATCTAATAAAGGGATGCGATTACGCGTTATAAACGGCTACAAAGCTTCCAAAAAGAGCGTAATGCGAAGATGCGTCGAAATAAGAAAACAGGACACAGCTGAACGCATTTAACGACGCTTCAAAAGGTATCAGTTTCTCATGCACGCAAATCCTCTACGACTCTACGCTATGCTTCCCTAAACCGCCGATTCTGAAAAGAGAGAGACAGACAGCGAGAGAGAAAGAGAGAGGGAAGACAGAGATAAAGACATAGAGATAGAGAGAGCGCGAGAGAGAGGGAGAGAAAGAGACAGTTAGCTAGATAGAGAGAGCGAGAGCGAGAGGCAGAGAAAGAAAAAGAGCGAGAGAGAGACAGAGAGACAGTGAGAGAGAATGTGGGAGAGAGAGTGTGAAAGTTCTGGTTGAGATTTGGCAGCAGCTTTCCGGATGCAGCTCAGAATTAATGAAGTTGTCGGCCCCACCGATACAAGCTTTTGAGCTTTTGGAAAAGATTACTGAATTCCGATGCGGCTCCTACTTTTGCTATTTCTCGACCTCAACTTGCTTTCTTGGTAATGGATGTTTTGCACGTGTAAGTGTACACCCGATCAGCCACGTTCTTCAATGGAAGCAACGCATCCAAGCTATGCAAGCTGACCACGAAGGACCGGTCGCCCCGCAGGATCAACAAATTGGAGGAGGTCAACCAGTAGCTGTCAAGCTAGTTTTTTTCAGAGCCGGCGTCTGACCTTGACGACGACGTTGGTTCTGCAAGATACGGTATCGTGTATACGTGAAGCCCTAGGTCTTACGATTTCAGATACCCCAGACGACATGCCCGGGCCCTCCAATACGGGGAAACTCACGAAGGAAGGCAAGTGGAAAACGGGACGCCCGCATAAAATTAAACTTCAGAAAAACAGAAGATAATCCACGAACGGTTCAAACAGCTGCAGGGGGACCTGGACAGCTTGCCGGAGAGCGAGTGGAAAGCTCTACGGGCAGAAACCGGGATGAAAGTAAAGGATGTAAGTTGGCCTGCTTAAAAAAGCCGCG